GGAAATTTTTTTTTTTTATATATTATCAGTTCTGGGTTTTTTCATTTTTCACGAGTTCCAAAGATATGAGTTATGAGGTTTATGTGTTTGGAAGTTTGCGAATTTAAAAATTATAGATTTTACGGGTTCGAAAGTTTAGTGGTTCAAAAGTTTATCAAATTTGTAGGTTCGAAAGGTTATTGTTCGAAAGTTTATAGTTTCATATTTATTGTATCTAAATTATTTATGAATATTCTTAAAAAGTTATTTTCCTTAATTTGCATACCTAACACCGAAAAATGAGTAAGATTACTACTTATTTTCCAAGAAAACATTTTCTTGAAAAATATTTTCCACGAAAAATATTTTCCGTTTTACCAAACACACCCTTAGTTTAGAGCTAAGTCAAGTCACAATTTATTCTGAATTTCTTGGACATTTTATCTCCCGTTGCCAGTTGCTTGAGCATTTGGTGCTGGAATACGTAGATAATGCAAACCACATTGAGATTAACGCTCCCAAGCTGAGATCATTTGACTTCACAGGCAATATACATTTTTTACATCTAAAACGTGTCCCGCTTCTTGCAAAAGTTTCACATGAGTCTACACCATTTGTAAAAGCAGGAAAAAATGATCTTGTCAATTTTTTTAAGTCCATTCCTGTACTAGAGCATCTCCACTGGAATTACAGTAGTTTCCGGGTAATCACGACTTCATTTTAATGTGTGTTCATAGATGTACCATCTTTTCGGCTTTAACACATCCCTTTTTTGACATTTTTTTGTAGTTTATGATTACAAGACCAGGTGAAGTACCAACAAGGCTTCCCTCTGCACTCAACTGCCTTAAATATCTTTACCTATCTAAAATTTGCCTGGAAGAACGAGTCGAGCTTTTTGATGAAATCAGCTAACCATAGAGCTCGGCCATGGATGTGGAGCTGAAGTTCTCTGTTAGCTTTAGAGAGGAAGAGTGCTAGAGTGAATCTGACGAAATATTCTAGAAGAGGATGAAATGAAATGTAATGCTTCCATTCAATCTAACAAGTGTAGCTGTACATGTATATATAGAAGAAGAGAATAAAACTAACTCTACTCATCAACTGCAGTTAAGGCTAGTGCTAACTCTAGTCACACTAACTCTATTCTAATGTAAGTTAATTATAACTAACTAATGGAACATAACTACCTAACAGTAAGGAAGGAAAGTTAACCACAACTAGCACTATTAATCTCAGCACTCCCCCTCAAGCTGACGGGTAAGAACATGTTTTCAACCCCCAGCTTGCTAAGCAAAGAGTAGTGCTGGACCTTTCCTAGTCCTTTCGTGAGTATATCTGCCAATTGAGCCTTCGTGTTAATACACTACTAAAAAATTAGGTTTTAGCGACGGACAAATTTTGTATCTAAATAGAAAAATCTGTCGTTAATCTAATTTAGCGACGGATTAGCAACAGATTATCAAGAAATTCTGCTAGCTACGAGCGTTTTAGTGACAGATTAGCGACGACGTTCGTAGCTAATTCCATTTTTTTCGTAGTAATATGGTGAGTTTGAATAAGACCCTGCTGCAGTTTCTCCCTTACGAAATGGTAATCAATGTCAATGTATTTTGTCCGCTCATGAAAAATAGGATTTGCAGCTATTTAAATGGCTGCTTTACTATCACAATGTAAGGCAATGTGTAGTTGAATTTGGACTCCCAACTCTTTGAATAACCCTACTAACCATGAAACCTATGCCACTGTAGAAGCCATACTTCTGAACTCTGCTTCAACTGAGCTTCTGGAGACTGTGGTTTGCTTCTTAGATTTCCATGATGTTAATGAGTTTCCAATCTTAACTAGATAGTCTGTAACAAACTTCCTGGATTGAGGGCAAGAAGCCCAGTCTGAGTCACAGAAGGCTACCAAGTTATCAGATTGATGTGAAGACATTAATAGGCCTAATCCTGGTGTATTTTTGACATACTTAATCACCCTCAGAGCTGCATTCATATAAGTCCTTTTTGGTTTATGCATGAATTGACTTAGAACTTGAACAACATAAGCTATATCAGGCCTAGTCATAGTTAGATATAGTAGCCTGCCCACTAACCTTTGTAAGATTCAGGATCAAGTAACATAGAGTCATTGACAGTTGCACCTATGGCATCATTAGTGCACAAGATATCCTCTTCAAAATCTGTCGTGGTCAGCCTTTGATTGCACTCTAATGGGGTAAATACTGGCTTAGCTCCCCCTAGCCCAGGGTTAGCAATCAAATCAAGGGCATATTTCCTCTGATTCATTAAAATGCCAGCCTTGCTGCGAACAAATTCTATGCCCAAAAAGAATCTGAGTTTCCCCAAATCTTTCATCTTGAACTTCTTCTGTAGGTTGTCTCTAGCAAACTAAATTAGCTGAAAATCATTATCTGTAAGTAGGAAGTCATCTACATAGACCAAAATTACAACCAAGGCTGAACCTCTCTATTGTGTAAACAAAGAGTAATCAAAATGACTTTGAACAAATCCCAAATCTTTAAGAGCTTCTGTCAATTTCAAGTTCCATTGTTTGCAGGCTTGCTTTAAACCATAAAATGATTTCCTTAGCTTGCACACTTTGGTCTTGGACTCCTCCTTGATGTTGTACCCTTGTGGGAGTTGCATATACACTTTTTCAAATATGTCACCTTGCAGAAAAGCATTGTGCACATCCATTTGGTAAATGTGCCAATGCTTAGAAGCTGCTACTGCTGTGACTGATCTACCAGTGACCATCTTGGCTACTAGGAAAAATGTTTCCTTGCAGTCCAACCCTCCTTTTGACTGAAAACTTTGGCTACCAATCTAGCTTTAAATCTCTACACCTCCCCATTAGCTTTGTATTTCACTTTGTACACCTATTGTCACCCTATGAAAGCCTTAACAACAGGCAAATCAACAATATCCCATGTGTTATTTTCCTTTAATACTGTAACTTCCTATTGCATGGTTAGTTAATTTCATCATGGTATCAGAGTTGAAGTTCTCTATTAGCTTTAGAGAGGAAGAGTGCTAGAGTGAATCTGACGAAATATTCTAGAAGAGGAGGAAATGAAATGTAATGCTTTAATTGAATCTGACAAGTGTAGCTGTTCATGTATATATAGAATAAAAGAATAAAACTAACTCTACTCCTCAACTGTAGTTAAGGCTAATGCTAAACCTAGTCACACTAACTCTACTCTAATGTAAGTTAGTTATAACTAACAAATAGAACTTAACTACCTAACAATAAAGAAAGAAAGTTAACCACCACTACCACTACTAATCTCAACACTTTCATGTGTTCTTTGCTCGATTAGAAGCTCCCGAATTTAGAGGAACCTGAAATTAAGGTTCATAATGATGTTTGTTCTTTATATGTGTGTGTTGTGACTTTATTATTTTCATACTCATTAAATCTTCAGTTTCAAGTTCAGAGTGATGAGTTTTCCATGATCTTTCTTAGAGTCCTTTTGATCTTATGGGAAAATTACTTGCTCTTGTGCTCGGGAGCGCTGTTGATGAAATTCCTGCAAGCTTCTCAGATGTGACATATAATCATCTGAGGGCAGTTAAGATTAATGGTGTAGCAGGAGCATAATGTGAAATGCAACTTATCAAGGTTTTATTGGCCAAGTCTCCCCTGCTGGTGAGAATGGTAATCGACCTCGATGTAGTAGGAGATCAATCTCTCAAATTACTTGTAGAGATAGCCAAATTTCAGAGGGCATCACCTAAAGTTGAAGTGGTATATAACGTTGTTGCTTATCCCGGTTACTATCTTGCTTGATGTTCACGAGTCTTTAATCAGACCATGGTCTTTTCTAAAACGTTTTGGGAGCGAGTGTAAATAGAAAATGAATGTTGATGCAATAGTATAAGCCTATAAGGCTGTGTTTTGCCTTGTCAATTGGTAGTGAGTAGAATATCAGTTAGGGAACATAGTGAATCAAGATGGATGTTTTGGATAATGTATATACTGATACAAAGGAATGAATTAAAGTTGGGGGCTATGCGTAAGATGAGCAGGGGTAGAGCGGCCTGGGCCAGATGAATTTCCGATGGCGTTTTAGAAAAGTGTGGTTAGGGCGGGCTTGTAGTGGCTTACTAGGTTATTTAATATCCTTTTTAGGATGAAAAAGATGTCCGGAGAGTGAAGATGGAGCACAATGGTTCCGGTGTACAAGAATAAGGGTGATATCAAAAATTACAATAACTATCGGGGTATTAAGCTGCTTAGTCATACTGTGAAGGTGTGGGAGAGGGTGGTGGAGCTAAGGGTGAGGAGAAGGGTATCTATATTCGAGAACCTGTTTGGATTTATGCCAGAGCGTTCGACTACGGAAGTCATTGACCTTGTTAGGGGATTGATAGAACAATATAGGGAGAGGAAGAGGGACTTGCATATGGTGTTCATCGATTTAGAAAATGCTTACGATAAAGTACCGAGGGAGGTTCTGTGGAGATGCTTGGAGGCTAGAGGGGTACCTGTGGCCTACATTAGGGTGATTAAAGACATGTATGAGGGAGCAAAGACCTGTGTGAGGACAGGGGAGGGGTCTCAGACCATTTTTCGGTCATGATGGGGTTGCATCAGGGGTCGGTCTCAGCCTTTTTTGGTTTGCCCTGGCGATGGACGTACTAACTCGCCACATCCAATGGGAGATGTCGTGGTGCATGTTGTTTGTAGACGGTATTATTTTGATTGACGAGATGTGAGACGGTGTTAACACAAAGTTAAAGGTGTGGAGACAGACCCTAGAGTCTAAAGATTTCAAGCTGAGTAGAACCAAGACAAAATACTTGGAGTGTAAGTTTAGTGGTGCTACTGAGGGAGTGGAAGGGGAGGTGAGGGTGAGTTCACAAGTCATACCTAGGAGGGGGAGTTTTATGTACCTTGGGTCTATTATACAGGGGGGTGGGGAGATTGATAATGTTGTCACACATCATATTGGGGCGGGATAAATGAAATGGACACTTGCTTCCGGTATTTTGTGAGACAAGAAGGTATATATTTTATAGAGCGGTAGTCAGACCGGCTATGTTGTATGGGACTGAGTGTTGTCCAGTTAAGAGCTCTCACGTCCAGAAGATGAAGATTGCAGAGATAAGGATAATGAGATGGATGTGGGGGCACACCAGATTAAGATAAGATTCATAATGAAGTTATTCGGGACAAGGTTGGTGTCGCCCTTATTGAGGACAAGATGCATGAAGCACGATTTAGATGGTTTGGACATGTGAGGAGGAAAAGCACAGACACTTCAAAAATGAGGTGTGAGAGGTTGAAATTGGAGGGCCTTATGAGAGGTAGAGGTATGCCAAAAAAGATTTGGGGTGAGGTGATTAGGCATGACATGGTGCAGCTACAACTGACCGAGGACATGAATCGTGATAGAAATGTGTGGAGGTCGAAGATTAGGATGGTAGGTTAGGTAGTCTAGATTATTCATACCGGTAGTATTAGTACGTACTCCCGTATTTGGTTGGTAGTAGGATTATTTGAATACCTATTTTCTTTTTATTTTTTAATTACTATCTTGTTGTGTATGCTGCTTTTACATGGTTTTTTGGTGTTGTCCCGTCTTGTTTATTGTTATTACTATAGTACCTATTCTTGCCTGAGCCGAAGGCCTACTGGAAACAGCTTCTCTACCTCCACAAAGGTATGGGTAAGGTATGCATGCACACTACCCTAGCCAGACCCCATTATGTGGATTATACTAGGTATGTTGTTGTTGTTCTGTTATAACTGCCTGCTTCTTCACAGTAAGCATTTGAGAAGCTGGATGCAATACCCAACCCTGTTGCAGCGCATCTGATCAGTGAAAACTCATGAACACATTATGACAAAGATCTTTTTTTGGCGAGTATAATTGAGACTTGCACATAATATCGCAACAATAACAAATTAGGCAAGAGCTTATGAACACCTAAGATGTAAAGATAAATGGATAAGCAGTCGAAAGACTTCATTCGATGTGCTTCTTTAACATTTGATGCCCACTTATGGACCAACATAAACTATTAAGTTCGAAGTTCCGTTTTTCATAGAAAATTCTCCCATCCCCCTTCTTCCCCCCCCCCCCCCCCCCCAACCATTCATGGACCAGCCTACTCCTAACTAAAAGGAAAAAACGATATTTTGTAGAAGCCTAACTTAGCTTTTGAGGCTCTTAAATTTGTCATGTTCAAGTAAACACTTCTATCTGGCTCCTATGGTTGTGCTTTAGTCACAACGGAATGGGTGAATAGGATATTAGAATTAAAATTTGAATACAGATAAAAACAATTTCTGCATAAGCCTTGATAAAGTATTCGATATTTGTACTAGTGAGAGATATCATATACTCATAAAATAATCGAGTTTTAGGCGAATTGGTCGAGACATGTACATTATCGGAAAAAAAGAACTTAATATTTACACACTAGTATTCATGTAATGTAAAGTCTAAAACCTATAATTAAGTTGGCGCTACTAATCAAAATCCATCTGTTTATAAAGTTATTTTAAGTGATCTATAGACTCATGAGTTGCCTGAATAGAGTTGTGACATTGTTCATTGCTGCACAGTGGGAACTATTTTATTTGTATCCAACCCTATGTTGGTCTTGGATCGTTCAAACTCTTGTATTTGTTCAAATAGCTTATGCTTTAAAAGTAAATGGATTTGGCAGGCAAAAGTGTTACCAGATGATACACATGTATAGGTTAAAATCTATCTTTAGAATATTTAAGCCAAGATATGCTTGTACTTGCCGCTGATATATCAAAAAAAATTCTCTCACTAAATTCTCTCCGTACCAACGGCTATTTCTCTTATATCAGTAACTTCTCACCTCTTTTAGAGGTGAGTGGTGCACACGTACCTCCGCATGGGGATGCCGACAGGCATCACACCGGCACATCCTATGGAGAATCTGACTCCCCCAGTTGGAGCGACCAACCCGTCGTTCGGAATTCCATCCAAACTAGACTATGCCAACGCAATTGTAACCCCTGCTAAACCTAGCTCCAAAGCTCGACTAGGGGACCCCAATGTCAAAGCTAGGGTTACGACCAACAACGGTATGCCGGTGGTCATCTTCAAAGCTAACGAATATTACGGAATAATGGCGGAGAAATGCAAATTCACAATCATAGGGAAGTTTCTGAAAACTCGCCCCAACATTGAAAGAATTCGCTGTTTTTGTTGAAAAGGTTTCCCTAAAAAGAGACGTCAAAATTGGTGCATACGATTTCCGCACTGTCTTTATTGATGTTAAGAATGAAAAGGATTGCAAAACTGTCTGGTTTAAGTGCTCAATTGAAATCGATGGATTAGTTATGTGGTTACAAAATGGTCGCCGAA